TTTTAGATTGTTTATAAATTTATTTTTAATTTTTATATATTCATCTTGCATTGTTTAATATATTTAAACTATTTTATATTTTATATAGTTGCTATCATACGGTATTATGTTAACTAAAATACATCCCTAATTGAGAGCTGCAAAAAACAAGCAGCTTCAATTAAGTTTTTCCCCTGCAAAACTGTAAAATACATCAAACTAAAGTCAACTCGAATCAAATATAAAAAAAACCTACTGATTGCAGACAAAGGTTTTTATGGCAGTTACTCTGACAATTAGCCATCCATTCTAAGTTCAGAGTAGATATGCCTTTTTCTCCAACAAATTGTCATACAGCACGTCGGACTTGAAATGGGATTAAATAGCTGGCAAAATGTAACTCATATGCGAAGCATTTATATCCAGTTCCTGGCTTAAGCCGTGCAACTTCAATAAATTTTGAGCCAGTTGCCTTAACTGCAGCAGCAGTGACAGCAGCCGAGCTGGCTGCATGGGCTGCTGTCTACAGCATGGCCAGAGCGGGGGGCGGGGAGCAACGCACAACTTTCACCTGGGCCGCCATAAATTTTGCTGCCTTGCATCCGTGTGTCGAGCTGGAGTCAATTGTGCTTAAATGTTCGACATCAACGGCGATTCATCAGGTGTAACTGGCTGATGGAGGTGCGAGCGAATCTCTCTCTCAATCTCACTCTCTGTCTCACTCTTTGCCTCTCTCTCTCTTTTAGCATTGTCAGAGTGCTCAATATCAGGCTTATGACTTTTATACGCCTTTATTTAACTTGCATATTTTTGCTGCTGCACTTTGATGATGTTTCCTTTGTGTCGATTTCTGAGTTTGTTTAAGTTGAAATTGATGGCATTAGAGAAAATTTATAGTTAGATAGAAGGCAAATAGAAATAAATAGAATTTTAATATTTGTTATTTTATTGTTGATATAAGTACATTTTAAACATAGATTGTCTATTGCTCTTCCACTGGATATTATATTAATAATGTTAGCTAGTTAAGGAAACGTTGATTTGTCTTATTTGCTAGCTTCTAAACTACTTACTAACTAACTAAATAAGCATATTGTTATTGTAAGTATAAATAACTTTTATTTAATTTATTTTTTTATTTCTTATTTTTTAATTTGTTTTTTTTTTTTTTTAATTTATGTTTTACATATTTATCATTGCAGTTTGTTTTAGTATAAAAAAAAAAGTTGAAAATTTTTTTTATTTTTTATTTTTTTACATTCATAAAAGTTATCTCTGTATTTTAAATTCCTAATGTTACCTATACCTAAGTACTATATACCTTTTATAGGCTTACGCAATATAAAAAGTTTTGCTCCAGTGTAAAATTTTTAAAAATATTAATAGAATATTTTTTATAGCATACAGGAATCTTACATACTACATCATCATAGCACAGACAGACTATTCAATCAACACAGCTGTTGAAAAATAATATAAATTTTATATGAAAATAATGATAAATTAATATATGAATAAACCAATTCACATTTAATTTAATAAGCTAAAGTGTAAGAGTATAAAAAAGGTGAGTTGTTCACCTATATTATTTTTATCTTTTAACATATAGCATTAAGGTACCCGAATGGTATCTCTACCTTAAATATATAATACGCTCTATGTGGACAACAAAAAGTGTTTTTATTATTTGTTCTGAACTGAAATTTAAATGATCCATGTGTATTGCCAATCCCGAGTGAATGGCTTGGGCGCAGTTAGCGCTGTTAGCTCGGGCCACTTGATGGCAGTTGGTGGGTGTAACAATATATGTATGTGTAGTTGTAGTTATATTTGTATTTGTGTGTGTATGTGTGAATTATTCTGAGTTGATCAGGGATGTGAGTTCACGTCGCCTGAGAATCGATCGAACATCCTTCGTGAAGCGCAGCGCGTCGAGGAATGGGAGCAGATTGAGCAGCTCCCGGTCGTTCGGATCGTAGATATAGCTCTTAATGGGCAGAGCGTTCTCCGGAAAATCCCGATACGCACTGGGCGAGTTGTCGATGATGAGGACGCTATTCAGATCCCGATTCACCACAAATAGATTCTTGCTGACCAACGATGACGTGTTGACACAGTGCTGACGATAGAAGCGTCGCTGCAGGATGCCACGTCCTGCGTCCAGTTTGTCGATCACAATGCTGGCATACGCCTGCAGGCTGGCAGTATAGATGACCACGTCATACCATTTGCTGACCAGGTCGAGGAATAGATCAACGTATGGCCGCTTGAACACCTGGAATTCAATCGGACTTAGGTTGGCTAAGATCGGTATGTTTAATATGTAATCGGGCACGGCTGTTTCGGGCACAAAAGTACAGCCAACCACATCGTGGGTCTCCGGGTCCAGGTAACAGGAATGTACCAGAGTTTCATCTAGATCCAGTATCAGTGTCTTGCGCGGCACTGTCTCCAATTGGATTCTACTTTCATTCGATAGGGGCGGCTCCCGGTATATGAAATTATCGCCCGGAAGGAAAACTGAGCGGAATTTCGCCGCCACATAGGCGAGAAACTGTCGCACGTACTGGCCCAGCTCGTCTGTCCAACTTATGATACGGGCTACCCAGTCAGTCCAACGTGTCTGTATGCGTTCACAGCTCCCCAGCGAGGAGCTCACCGTTTCGCAGGAGACGATATTAACGAGCTCTGTGGGCGGCTCTTCGGCAGCTTGGGCAGCCTGCACCTTGGAGCTGTTCGGTTCGGTATTGATGGGCGACAACGAGGATTTGGGCTGCTCCGCAAGCTCCAGCATCATCTTTGCACATCGAACGTGTCGAAAATTAAAGTACCTTGGAATTGATACGAAAAAAAAAAAACAATGTTACATTACGCGGAAATTTGTTACATTTGTGTAAGTGCCAATTACTAAAATTTTCGATTTAACTGGTGTTAAGTGGATATTATATTATAGCCTGACATTAAATACTTGTACTACTAAATACCCTAATCCTGACGAAGATCTTTGGCTAATGGAAAATGGGGTCAAGGGGAGGAGGAAATTATCTTAATTCGAGTGCAAATTTATTGTAATCTCAGCTGTTTTGCTTATATGGGAGCTGATTGAAAATATTCTATATTGGTATATACCCTGCGCTTGAGCATCATTTATATACAGGGTATAAATCTTTTCACACCAATTCAATAGAGCTGACTGCTTAGTTGGGCCGAGTTAAGCGAAGTCAAGTGCAGTCTGAGCTAATTGCAGCCAAGCCACAGACAGTGCTTGTGCTTCCCAATGCACCAGATGCAGATTCATTAGCCAACTGACTCGTACACAACAGAGAGAGAGGGAGATAGAAAGAGAGAGTGAGAGAGATGTTCTGCCGTGGCAAATGATATGCAAATCGGATGTGGGCAAGCGGGAGGAGCGAGTCAAGGCTAGAGACATTCCAGTAGAACAGAGAACAACAATATTTCCATTGCCGCCGAGCGGAGTCGAGCTCTCATTAATTAAGAGTTGCATAATTTACACGAGATGCAAATGTTTTCTCTAAATGTTGCTTCCGGTGACCAAAGTGGCGCATAGACATGGCACCAACTGCATCCTGCCTTCCGCTCTCCGCTCGCTGCTAATTGAGTTATGCTGCTAAGCACCTGTTTATCGGCTAGAAACTAGGGCTTTGTAGAACCAAATGCTGGCATTACTTCATGTTGACAACTACTTAAAGATGTTAGATAATTAGGGTTTATAATTTGCTTACTCCAAATGTATGTTTTACCTAAATCAATCTGTATGTTGCTGTATGAAATATTTAGTGGAAGTATAAACGAGTATGAGCGAGTATTAATCAAATTATTATGAACGCTAGTATAAACTATATTTATATGAATAAAAATATACACATAGTTAATATAAATATATGTCGGAATGTTATTATTAGAAATTAATTACACTCGGACTTGTAACCGTCTCATCAATGCGATATTAAACTGTTGTTGAAATTGCAATTCGATATATTGATATCGTGTAAATCGATTGATTTAGTATCGTAGTGCAATTAATGCACTGTCACTAAGAGACAGACAACAATAGCTGTTGCTGAACGTGGTCCTGGGTGTCGCTGGGTGAGAGCGAGACGGCTAGTCATGTCGCTCGCAGCAGGGTCGCTGTGCTTTCGATGAACAGGAATATGCGACCATTATTAGAAGTTTCGAGAGTGGAAGAGAAACCACACTTGGCCGAAGACGATTGAACGAGTAAGACCATTTAAAAGAGTTTAGCGACCACCAGGAATTCGTTGATGCGCGTAGCTAAGATGGAAAACCAGAATGAGAAACGAACGCCCCGACATACATATATGTATACATATCGTAAATAAATAGAAACACATATTTTTTATATATATTTAATTATTATTCTTGCTAAATATTTCGTCTTTTTAATTAGTTTATAATCTGGTTTCTCTTAATGCATTTCTTATTAATCATTGTTATATGATCACTTGAACTAGTTTATTCATTACATTGTTCTTCTTAAAGCCAATTCCCAATGTAAATTAACAGACTACTGAATAGAGTTTAAGGTAAATAAATTATTGCAATTTTTCTTATGGAATTTTTTCAAACTATGACATTTAAACATGATCTCAATGAAGGCATAAAAAATCAAAAATATTTACATATGTTAAAAATATAGAAATATAATTTGCAATCGAAATTTTGTTTTTTAGTTTTAGTTTTTATAATTAACAGAAGTTGTTATTAAAATCAAGTTAATAGACAACAGAAATTTTTTGCAATAACTAAATATTAATAAAAATATACAAGAATAAGCAAAAATATAGATACATTTTCTTTTTAAATTTATATGCATACGACAAGAAAGTCGTATACTAATGTAGTTAATGCGGGTTTATAGTTGTCTTGATGAACTGTATATAGTTTTATATTCAAAACAGCTTGACAGAAACTTTTCATTTATTAATAAACAAAGCAGTCCATATGCATCTTAAATGTTTTACGACTATCACAACCGGAAACAATCAATTGGAAGGAAACAAAATTATGAGTAAAAAAAAAAAAAAAACATTTAAATAACAAGTAAAATGCATTAAAGCTCAAGCAGAGCAAAGCAATAAAAGCAGCTGCTGGCTTTGCTAGTTGCTGTATTAGAAAATGTTTTCAAATTAAGTTGATTCAACACAAAGCCTACTGAAATACTCTAATTTCTACAGCAATTTGTAAGAGCCAACTATTAACATAAATATTCACTCACCCTCTCGTGTTAATGTGAATGAACAGAGCATGCTCTAGTTGATCACACTCTATTAGCTCCTGTGCAGCAGACATTGAGTTAAGGCTGGAGCTGGAGCTGTAGCTGAAGAATAGAAGAGGAACAGAGCCAACGAAACCAAACGAATCCAAAAACTGTTGCAAAAACATGTCACATTAAGTGCACAGACAGCAGCAGGAAGTCTATGGGAGTTGAGTGCTTTTATTGCTGCCGGAATTCTGAGGACATTTCGCTTTGAAGTTGAATCCTTGCATTTGGCTTCCTCTTGTGTTTTTCCTTCTCCATTTTTTTTTTATGTTTTTGTATTTTTTTCTTGCTTCTTCCGCATGCGGGTGGGCGCTGCACTTGTTTATGTTTATGCATTTTGCACTTAAATGTAATGATAATGTCTCAGTTGATTTTGCATTTGCTGCGAATTCAAATCAGCGAATTGCACTGATTGTGTCTGCAAATTTTTGGCTACTTTCCATTTTTTGTAGAATTTTGCAAACAATTTTTTAATAAATTTTATTGTGATCTGAGTAAGTTAGTGGTAAATTTACTTAAAGAGAGGAAAGGAGAAAGAGTGATGGTTGATTCTTAGGTGAGTACTGCATACATATCGTATCTAATGAGATCGTGCCAATTAATTACGTACTGCAACGAGCTTTGCTCATTAAACTCTTTATATGGAGAAGGGAGAAAATAATGCTAAAATAATTAATATGAATATATGTATTTTATTTCTATCTATCTAAAATAATATGATTTTATTTTAATTGATTTAAATCGTAAAGCATTCAAGATTCATGCCAGCGCACAAAAGCTCTCGTGAATGCAGTTATCGCTGAGCTTCGCAGCTTTTGTCAGTTAAGCGGTTAAAGCGAGGTAGGCAAGCTTTCGAAACGGTGGCCAGACAGTGGTGTCCAAAATAAATGGCGCACTCTCAATACGCTCAATGCTTTAACAGAAGTGTGTATAAATATTGATAGTTGCATTTATAAATTTATGACAAATATCTATTTTATTGTAATTACATATTTAATGTGACTTACATTAATTTAATATAGCAAATAAATTTTAAAAAAATATATAAAATATAAATAAAATATCACATTTTTTAAGAATATAGCTAAAATATAAATTAAATAATCTACAACGTATATAACGTATTACATTTGAATTTTTTTTTATTGAAATAATTCAAAATAAATGATAATCATCAATCAAAGTTGACTTATGTGGGCTCGAACTGTGGGTCGAATGTGAATGCATGAATAACACTCCACTCAACGAGAATAGCATATATCAGATAGACTATATACATGATCAGATCGAAGATGGCAACTGAACGGCGAGCTAGGAAATTGAAAGTGACGATCCACAGCAGAGTTGAAAAGGCAATGAGCATGAAGAAAAAGTACGAATTATCGCCTTGTTCGCCTAGTAGCCAGCGCTTGGAGTAGAGCTGGCTCACCTTGGGATTGGTTAAGAAGTAGAGACCCAAGCCGATCGTAAAACCTATAAAAAAGTACGAAAACGAATGATTCAACAATTTCTATTAAGTCGAATAATGCAAACGTACTGAAAAATGGCCCAGCCAAGCCGGCAGCGAATGCCATTCCGCCGTAGCCCTTAATTGCCAAACTGATATTGAATATACTATCGCTAAGGGCCGAGCAAAATGCCCGAATACTGCTGGATGCGAAATCCTCGCTCATGTGCGAAACCAAGCCAATCACACAGCTGAGCACCTCGATCTCAGTGGCAAAGATTTTCAGTAGAACCAGGGAGATGCTGAACGTGAGTATCATGAAGAGCTGTGAATAAAAGTATACCAATCAATTTCATCTGTCTTTCTTAGTCTCTCTCTCTCTCTCTCTCTCTCTTTCTTTCTTTCTGGATACCTTGTGAAAACGCGGTGGTTTATCGGTGCGTGTCTTCCAGAAGACAAATATGGCTAGCGGCACGCTGACGCAGAAGCTCCAAACGGAAATGTTAAAGTACAAAACTATGAACGAACTTTGATACTCTAAGCAGGTCAATGCTGCAATGAAAATGATATATCATATGATATATACATATAGAAAACTTTAGCACAAACCATGCCAGAGAGTTATGACTATGAAGGGCGTCGTCACGATCTGTATGCAATTGAGCAGCTTGCTCCAGCCGTGCTTGTTCACGGAGGTGTCGACGACAGGTACGAATAGACTGCAGATGATTGAGACGGGCATGATCAGTACTATGTAGATTCGTTCAATGTACGAGCTCCGCTTGAATTCGCTCAAACTGATCGGATTTATCGAGTCCCATAGGTCGTTTAATAGAAACATATTACGGGGATTCTCTGGATTGTAGAAGATGTCGCGCAAGTATTTCTCATTATCCCTCACGATTACACTAGGCCGAGTCTGGCCATATTTCTCGAGGGCGCGCAGCTCCACATCATCAGGCTCATCATCGTCGAACGAAGTCTTTTTGCCATAATATGTCTTCAGCTTGGCCGAGATGAAGATCTCCGAGTGATTGTACTTGTCCACATTCTTGCTATCCAGCTCCATGTGAGCCAGCTTGTTCTGCATGTGCCGCAGTTTGCTCTTCGTCTTGAGTGTGGGCTGAGTCTTTCGGCTCAAAGCGTCGACCTTTTGGCGAAGGTCTGGTAAAGGCATTTTATTATAGATATACTCGAATTTGTGGGGTTTCTGATTTGGAGCGCTTCTTACCGTCAAGAGTGTTTCGCATCAACTTCAGATCGACAATATTGATAATCAAGTAAATGAAATACAAACAGATAAGGGCTGTAAATAAATTGAATTGATTAGATTAAATCAACTAAACAAAATGTGAAAAGATAACAGAAAAAAAAAAAAAAATAAATAAAAAAGAAATAAACAAAAGAAAACAAATCAAAGAAATATAACATACAATAAATTAAACTAATAAAAT